TCTGGGAAGGATCATGAAGATATAAAGAGAATCGAACATAATTTTTGAAACAAGTACAGAAATCAATAAAGAATAAAAACTAACAAATAGCGTAATGCTCAACACACCCTTCTGAGAGGACCGAGTACCATCGACACGTGGAGTGTCGGTGCTCACGGCACCTGCCGACGGTCCTCTACTCACCAATGGAGAGTCGGAGCTCAACACATTTGCTGAGAGGGGGCAGCTTCAGCATCTCCTTCCACTTTTTGCTACGACCACTTTTTTTGCCATATCCTCCTAGATTTAAAAAAATGAAAAGGCATTTTTTAAAAAAATGATCAGAGGTATCCAACAGTAACAACTACTCCCATTCATGTACCTTCTTCTGTTTTAGTACTTTGCATACCTGCTGTTCTTGTACACAGCGACCCTGTGTACAACAAAACACTGCCCAGTCACGCGCCATCCTCACTATCCTTGCTATACTTGAGCCCATCGCTGCAGCCACTGTGTCAGTTCACCTTGTCGAGAGTCTTCCCTTTTTCCCTGACCCACCACTATACCAAGCATGATGTCCTTCTCCAGGGAATGATCAACGTAGGTGAGCTTTTGCGTCCAAGGAGCATTCCAGCTGCACTTCTTCCAGGACAGATTTGTCTGTTCTTTTGGCAGTTCATGGTATTTTCAGTATTCTTCACCAACATCACAATTCAGAGACATCAACTCTTCTTCAGTCTTCCTTATTCGCTGTCCGGTTTACACATGCATATGAGGCCATTGAAAATACCATGGCTTGGGTTAAGCGCATCTTAGTCTTCAAGGTGACATCTTCGCTCTTCAGCACTTTAAAGAGATCTCTGGTAGCATAGTGGCTAAGGCACTTGACTGCTAACCAGAAGGCTAGCGGTTCAAATCCATCAGCCACTCCTCGGAAGGAAGATGGGGCAATCTACTTCCGTAGTGATACCGCCTCAGAAACCCAAGGAGGGGTCACTATGAGTCGAGTCCGACTCGACGGCACATAACAACAACAACAAGTCCAGTGCAGTACGACATCTGATTTCTTGACTGCTGCTTCCACAAGTGTTGATTGTGGATCCAAGAAGATGAAATCTTTGACAACTTCTATCTTTTCTCCATTTATCATGATGCTGCTTATTGGCCCAGTTGTGAGGATTTTCATTTTCTTTATGTTGAGGTGTAATCCATACTGCAGATTGTAGTCTTTGATCTCTATTGCTAAGTACTTCAAGTCTTCTTCACTTTCAGCAAGCAAAGCTGTGTCATTTGCATATCTCAGGTTATTGATGAGCCTTCCTTCAATACTGATGCCATGTTCTTCTTCATATAGTCCAGCTTTTTGGATTATTTGCTCAGCATACAGATTGAATAAGTATGGTGAAAGGATAAAACCTTGATGCACTCACTCCCTCCCTGACTTTAAACCATGCAGTGTCCCCTTGTTCTGTTGAACGACATCCTCTTGGTCTATGTACAGTTCCCTTGATTAAGTGTTCTGGAATTCCCATTCTTTGCAATTTTATCCATAGTTTGGTACGATCACATACTCATATGCCTTTGCATAGTCGATAAAACATTGCTAACCATCTTTCTGGTATTTTTTGCTTTCAATCAAGATCCATCCAACATCAGCAATGATATCCCTCAGTTCACATCTCTTCTGAATCCAGCCTGAGCTTCTGGAGGTTCCCTGTCAATATACTGCTGCAACCATTGTTTAATTATCTTCAGCAAAAGTTTACTTGCTTGTGATATTAATGATATTATTTGATAATTTCCACATTCTGTGGGATCACCTTTCTTTGGCATGGACACAAATATTGATCTCTTCCAGTCAGTTGGCCAGGTAGCTGTCTTCCAAATTTCTTGGCATTGATGAGTAAGCACCTCCATCACTGCATCCATTTGTTCCTTCAGTGCAGCTTGGACTTCTTCCTTCAATACCATTGTTTATTGATCATATGGCACCTCCTGAAACAGGTGAATGTTGACCAACTCCTTTTGGTGCAGTGACTCTGCAATCTTTTCACCTTCTTTTGATGTGTCCTGCATCGTCCAAAAATTTATCCACAGAATCAATCAATATTTCAATTCCAGGCTTGAATTTTTTCTTCAGTTCTTTCAGCTTAAGAAATACTAATATGTTCTTCCCTTTTGGTTTTCTAACTCCAAATCTTTGCACATTTCATTATAATACTTTGTCTTCTTGAGCTGCCCTTTGAAATGTTCTGTTCAGATCTTTTATATCATCATTTCTTCCACTTACTTTATCCACTCTCTGTTCAAGAACAAGTTTCAGAGTCTCTTCTGACATCCATTTTGGTCTTTTCTTTCTTGTCTTTTTTAATGAAGTTTTTCTTTTTCCATGAGTGATGGTCTTGATATCATCCCACAACTCATGTTGTCTTTGGTCATTGGTGTTCAGTGCATCAAATCTGTTCTTCAGACTGTCTCTAAATTCAGGAGGGATATAATCAAGGTCATATTTTGGCTCTTGTGGCCTTTTTCAAATTGTCTTCAGTTTCCACTTGAACTTGCATATGAGCTGTTCTATGTCAGCTCCTGGCCTTGTTTTGACGGATATTGAGCTTCTCCACTGCCTCTTTCTACAGATGTAGTCAATCTGATTCTTGTGCACTCCTCTGGTGAGGTCTACGTGTATAGCCATCATTTGTTTATGTTGTTGAAAAAAGGTATCTGCAATGAGTAAGTTTTTGGTCTTGCAAAATTCTATCATGCGCTCTCCTGCATCATTTCTATTATCAAGGCCACATTTATCCACATACTGATCCTTTCTCTTTGTTTCCAACTTTTGCATTCCAATCACCAGTAATAATCAATACATTTTAACTGCATGTCTGGTCAATTTTAGACTGCAGAAGTTGGTAAAGATCTTTAATTTCTTCATCTCTGGCTTTACTGGTTGGTGCACAAATTTGAGTAATAGTAGTATTAACTGGTCTTCTTTGCAGGTGTATGGATATTATCCTATCACTGACAGCATTGTACTTCAGCCTAGATCTTGAAATGTTCTTTTTTTCCCCCCATATGAAAGAAGTTTATTACATGAATATAGGGAAAAAAAAGATACCAAAATGGTTATCCCCGAGGTTTTCTTTATTCTCCAATGTTCTTTTTGACAATGAATGAGACGCCATTATCCTTCAATTTGTCATTCTTGGCAGAGTAGATCACATGGTTATCTGATTCAGAATGGCCAAAACCAGTCCATTTCAGCTCACTAATGCCTAGGATGGGAGCTCTGGTAGTATAGTGCCTAAGGCATTTGACTGCTAAACAGAAGGCTGGCAGTTCAAACTCACCAGCCACTCCTCAGAAGGAAGATTAGGCAATCTACTTCCTAGAGATACCGCCTCAGAAACCCAAGGAAGGGTTGCGATGAATCAGATCTGACTCGACAGCAGTGAGTTCGGTTTCTGTGGAATGCCTAGGATATCAATCTTTACGCATTCCATTTCATTTTTACAACTTCCAATTTTCCTTCATACCTACTACATTCTATGTTCCAATTATTAATGAGTATTTGCATATGTATCTTCCCATTTTGAGTCACGCCCCATCAGCAAACGCAAATCCTGAAAGCTTTACTCCATCCACATCATCAAGGTCGACTCTACTTTGGAGGGGCAGCTCTTCCCCAGTCGTATTTTGAGTGTCTTCCCACTTAAGGGGCTCATCTTCTGGCACTGTATCGGACAATGTTTCATTGCTATTCATAAAGTTTTCACTGGCCAATTCTCTGAGAAGTGGATGGCCCCTTCCTTCTTCACTATCTGTCTTACTCTGGAAGCTCTGCTGAAACCTGTCCACTTGGGTAACCCTGCTGCTGATATCTGGAATACCCAAGCTTGCAATATCACAGCAACATGCAAGCTGCCACAGTACAACAAACTGACACACCTAGGATGAGGAAAAATACAAGCTTAGAAGAACTTGACCGACCAGGAAGCCAGGGGGGTGAAGAAAAATCCCAAGTGATGCCATCAGTCACTGGTGCTTATTTAGAAACCATGTCACCTTGACCTTCTCTCAGTAGTTCTTCTGAGCCTCAGTTTCCAAATTTGTAAGCCATATCAAACAGCACATATCACAGAGTTGTTTATAAACATTTATTTGTTCAACAAGCACCTATATGTACCTACTATGCACCAAACACCTTTAAAGCTGGGAAGACAATGGTGAAAATAGACAGAGTCCCTCCTGTACCATCCAGTGACGGAGAGAGAAACACATAAGTCAGGTAGTAAGACAATAAGCTAAGCCTACGTAATAAACAGTTGAAACAAGACCAAGCAGGGCAGAGGCAGGGGTTGCTATGCTGGCTAAGGGCAGCCAGACAAGGCCTCTCTGTAAGGCTCAGCTCCAGGCCAAGGCAGGAAAGACGTGACGGAGCCTTGGGGAGATCTGGGAATGCAGCACCCCACAGGGAGGAGGCTGGTGGGAAAACCAGACTCATATTTCAGAAAGATTGTCTTTTAAGCATAAAAATTGTTTAAAAACTTTAACTCAGAGGAATGAGACCTCCGGTCTCAATCATTCTGGGTAGGTGAGACCGTACACAGTTCAGGCAGGAGACTCAAGATACCAGTCCTGTTGGAAGAAGAAGGAAAGCGCGTTCCACTTAGATGAGCTGTCTTGAGGGAGGTGCATTTGTAGGAGGTGGAGAGGCTCCAGAGACTGGTAAGAGCTCAGGAGGATCTGACCTAGAGACACCCAACCAACCAAGAAACCAAACTCACTGCCACTGAGTTAATTCTGACTCATAGCGACCCCCTCTGGGTTCCCAAGGCTGTAAATCTTTATGGAAACAGACTGCTTCTTCCTTCTTCTGTGGAGCAGCTGGGGGGTTCAAACTGCTGACATTTACGTTGGCAGCCAAATACCTTAACCACCAGAGCTCCTTATCCATCTGATTCACTGCCATAGCGTCAATTCCAACTCATAGTGACCTCCTTGGATTTCTGAGGTGGTAAACCTTTACAGAAGCAGATTGCCCCCCATTTTCCTTCTGTGGAGCAGAAGGTGGGTTTGAACTGCCAACCTTCTGGTTAGCAGTCAAATGCCTTAGGCACTGCATCACCAGAGCTCTTTTTATCCATCTGATAGTCATCTGCAGAACATGCTGAAGCGGACAGGGTTTCCTTTTCAGCCTTCTTGCTTCCCCACTGCCACTCCTCCCTCTATGTGTCCGCTTAGACCAGAAGCTCTCCACTTACTTGACCCAACCATGAGTTCAAGAGACTCACTGATCCCAC